TTTTTATTATATATTCTATATTTATATACTATATATATTTGAGTTTATATATGCTGTATTTATCTACATCTGATAGAGAATATATGTATATTTATACAAAGAAAATGCATTTTGAAACCCAAGGACTCTCTTTTCATTTCTTATAGACATACATATAGACACGCAAACATATGTCTAGCGACACACGCAGACATACATGGTTTGTTCCAGCTCTAGTTTGTAACTGTCTTAGAACTTTGATTTGCTAAGCTGTGAATACTGTTTTCTGAAATGCATTTCTAATGCTGAAAGATCAGCATCTGAACAGCACACACAGGGAAGAATTACTGTATTTGTGTGAGTTCCATATTGAATAAAGGCTGGTTTGGAACAGAGAGAAATTAATTCAAAATACCTGAGTAAAATGTGTATTTGGATTTCTCTATAGTCCGTTGTTGGAAACTAGTTTACAAGACGTGTTGTGCAGATCAGCACCCATTCTCCCAGTGCTTCTTTCCAGTTGTGTGTGAAAAAGTGCCCATGTGAAGGCAATGCTCCTCAGTGGGACCTTATGAAACTGTTGGAGCCTCCCCAGCTTCTTCATGTCGCAGCTCCTCTCTCTCCCTCTGTCTCTCAGCTGCAGGAGTAGCATAGGGTTGAGTAAGAACTATGCTTTGAAGAGTGACAGAAGGGAGATAGTCGTCCCTCACTCAAATACAGTAATTTGTGTTGTTTATAAACTGTGCGTATAAAGTCCATTTGAATTTAGAACAGTGCTACTTTGTAGTTTGCTCTAGAAAATATGCACAGGAGGAAAAAATCACCAATTGCCTCAAGTTCACTAAGTGTGGAATAATTATAAACCATAATCATAGCTGTTTTCCTTCTTTTCAGTCCTGATGGCCAACCAACTCTTCTTCCACCTGACCACGTACAGGAGTTAAGTCTGAGGTCTGTTGGTATGCTTAATGCCATCCAAAGATTCTTTGCCTATCACATGATTGAGACATACGGTTGTGACTACTCTACCAGCGGACTGACCTTTGATACCCTTCGCTCCAAGATCAAGTCTTTTCTCGAACTTCGGACAGCAGATGGACCCAGACATGATACCTATATTCTGTATTACAGTGGCCACTCACATGGCACTGGTGAATGGGCACTGGCAGGTAACTGGGTTGGGGTTTTTTTTTATTAGTAATTTTGATACTGATAAACTTTACAAATCAATTCATTCACTCTGTAAAAAGTTATATTGTATTGCACAACTTTGAAGTTTTGGTCATACTTACCATCTGATTGTCCAGAATGGCAAAGAACCATCAGTCTTGGAAGAACAGGTTAATGCAAGCTCCTGGCAGGAAAGGAAGGTAGAAAAAGATAATATACAGAGCATGACTGTTAAGAGATTCAGAGGCTACAAGGAATTGAGATAATGGTTGCAGGCTGACTACCTCTGCTAGTGGAGAGAATGGAGAAATACAGAAGCTCCTTTTGTTTGCAGTTAACTTGTAAAGAAGTGCCTCTTTCCTTACCTTGCTTTGTATGACAGTCAGGTATGTTACTTCATGAACTTTATGTCATTTTAGTATTTATTCACTCTAATAAGAATCCTTTTGCAGCTAACTAATCTTACACTTGTTCTCCAAATTGTCTAAATGTTGTTGACCTCAAATGTGTTCTAACAAGTTTAAATATGGTTTCATTTTCCCCTAATTTTCATCTCACAAGATTTTCATATTCACCGAGTTAACTTTTAAGATTGGGTTTTCCCTTCATAAAATTAAAAGTGGAAATGGCCCTCTCCTTCTCTAAATACAGATTTTTCCCTGTATTTTGAGGAATATTTATCCACTGTAATGAACAAGCATAATATTTTCTCATTCCTTGGACATTGCAGAGTGAATTATACAGTGTTCTGTGTCCCTGTGTCAGACTATCATGAAGGACTGCATTTATGTCCTTAAGATGTGCTTTGGTTTTTTGTAAAAGATAGAATCAATAAAAGAAACAGGAGGCAGGTGTACACTCCACAGTAGAAAAGCAGGTCTTCTTCTGTGGGTGCTGTGTAGCCTCAAGGCTCACAACCTTATATGGATGTCCAGTTTAATGCCTTGTCATATCTGGGCATAGACTTCACCATTTCCCATTTTCTTGGCCCATTTTTGGACTCTTTATAATGGGCAGTTCTATCTCAGCTCTATTCTTTTGTAAACCTTCTGAAGTTTTCAAATCATATGAAGGTTTAGCCTTGCTCTGCTGCTGTAGGGAACTGAGTTTCTGAGTTCACTGTGTGTAAAAAGTGAATGTCACAGTAAATACATTGAAATCAACTTTTTTCTTTCTGGGATAGAATTAATTCTCTTGGAAAGGGCTCTGCCAGCTTGCTTCTGGCTGTTTTTTAGCAGTTTCTCTCTAGGTGCATATGCCCTTCGACAAATACTGGCTTTGTGTGTGGTCATGCTGAGGTGGGTGTTCAGGTACAGGTCACCTTTCCTCTGGAGACTTTATTCCTGTTTCACTGCAGCTCCATGCCCAAACTATTAGAACTGCTGAAGAGCAGTGTGTATTTTTTCTCAAAGGCTTCATCTGTACCAGTGATTTGAAAAAGCCACAGCTATACTGTGAGCTTAGTGTGAGTGGTGTGCTGCAGTGTATGCTAGGGTGGCCAAATGACTTCTCCAAGAATAAGGTGGGTTTGTCCATAAGAGCAGCTGCTGCCCTGTGTGATTGCCAAGTGTGTCCACACCTTTTATGGAGCAGGCTAGCAGCAAAGATTTGCTTCCTCCGTGTGCTCCAGCCAGAAGCATAGACATGGTCAGCTTTCTAGCATATATAGTCAAATGTTGCTGCAAAAATTGGGCAACTTCCAGCCCAGTCCTGGCTTACATCTATCCACCCTGGAGTGTGACAAGGGAGCTCAGGTCTCTCTGTACCTGTGTAGGTAGATGTAGCCTAAATTAAACTCTGTCTTTGCTTTTAGGATAAGGACGAAGGTAACTGTTAAAAATAAGTTAAAAATAAAGAAAGTTTCGGTGCTAAATGATAGAGTGTGTAAATGCAACGGTGTTTTGTTTTCTCACAAAGCTCTTTTTCAGTTCTCTGTCCAAGCACATGTTCAGCTTCTATTTGGATAGATGTATGGTCACATAAAAGAGAGGAACAGGCAGCTGTCAGGTCTTACATACTTTTTTGTGATTAATTTCAGTTAAATCATGCAGTGTAATGATTCTCCTTCCAGATAGCTCTGCTCCTGCATGTAACTTGAAGTATAACCTGAAAAGATGAGGGCTGTTTGACTGTGGAATTGTGCCCCATGTACTGAACAGTGGCATTGTGTGACAGATGGAACATTGGTCATCAGCTCCAGTAATGTGTACCATCCTCTGACCTCAGAAGAGGATGAAGAGAGATGGCAACAATGCAATAAAATATGCAGATCTAATAGAAGAAAAGTAGTTTCTCACTGCCAGCTTGTGCTATGGTCCTGCACAGCAGTAGCAGTGTAGTCTTTGTTTTGTAATGACAGCTTTCAAAGGAGGCTTACTGAATTTATTAATTCACTAATGATGTTCCTCTGTTGTCAGAAGCTGAGATGCGACACAGTGGTGTACAAAAGAAACTGTTAACTAGTCATGCATAAAATATGAGCAGTCAAACAACCTGGGAGGTCGTGTTCTTTGAGTGAAGGCAAAGGCAAGAGCTGAGCTAATGAAGCTTTGTCTCTGTTGCTGAAACTGTCAGCTTAGCTGTCGGCCTGCAAAACCTGCCAAAGAGCCAGAAGTGGCCGTGTGCCTGGATTTCCTACGCAGCTTGGTGCCTAAATCCTGCACTGGCTGATAAGTCCCCGTGTTTGAGGTCAGTAGGGTTAGAAGCTGAGCATGTGTTTGCATGTGTCTGTGAAGGATGAGTTGATTTTCTGTGGGTGATTCTGTCCTGTGCTGTTTTGAAATCACCTGCACCCCTACATAGCTACACTAAAATAAAGTTTATTTTTAAGCCTTTGAAATGTGAACAAATAAAGAAATTTTTACAGGTAATTGACACACAAAGTGTACCCAGAAAAGTGAAACTGCTTCTATAGAAGTGTCTGCTGTAAATAACAACAGCAATTTGGGAATCATGTATCAAGAGAAGTCATCACTGTAGGTTTCTATATTAGAGGTTTCCTTTGGTACTCAGTTTTCCAGGTTTGCATTTTTTTGGAGAAGGTTGCAGCTCTGTAATTAATTAGCTTTTACTTTAGCTGCAATAGCATGTGCAGTGCTTTAACTCTGAGCTATTAATTTGAAGCACATTTTTTGTCACCTCTTACAGGTAGAAATGTAAGTGCTGAAATATACAGCTAATAATGTTTTAAACACTGCTGAATTATATTCCACAATGACAATCACTGTGGAATTAAAATGCAGTTATTTTAAATCACATTTTTATACCTTTCTTCTTCATTGTTTTCAAAGTTGACATTTTCAAACTGGAGTGTTTTTGCTGTAAATCTGTATCATAGCTCCAACCTGCCAAAACCTAGACATACCAGTTCTTCATGTTAATAGTCACTATGGAGCCAATGGAGATTTATTCACTTGTTTGCAAAATGTTGTCCTTAGGCACTTGAGTAAGTAGTCTGCTTTTCAAAGCCATGTAGATCCTGCAGCATTCTTCACACTAAAGCAGAAGGACTCCCCTCTATAGGTAACTTGGTTTAATTACAATCTCCTCTTTCAAGGCACTGTTGGAACAAGAGCTGAGACAGAACATGAGAAGTTGAACACTAGTTGCAAGTGTCTTCTGAGCTGATAGGAAATAAATATTGTGGGGAAATTCCTGTGAGACTTTTGTTTCACTGAGCTGTAAATTCATACCAATTTTCTTGAAGTGCTGATAACAACTGTGTCTATAGGAGAATCTCTTCATTTCTGGTCACGTGGATTTTTGTACCTGCAGATGACTTTCTCATTGTGCTTCAAAACTGTTAGCATGTGTTTTGTTCAAAAGTCATCTCTTAGAGGAGCTTTTTTTTAGTATTCATAAAAACATATTAAAAAGAGTAATTTCTTGTTCCTTAAAATTCTTAACCTGAAATATTTTGTATAAAATCTTCTCTTTCCTTGTTTATCTATTTCCAGATTTCTTCAATAGTCTGTAACTTCTTTCACTCTGTGAGATAATTTCTTTTTCTTTAGGGTTGGGGTTTTTTCCCCCTAATCAAGGGTGAGTTAAAGGCTTCATCTGCCACAGCAAGTCAGGTGGATGCAGTTAATACGTCTCTGGAGCTCTGCAGCATACACAGAGAGGATCTGTTATATCTGTCCAAGTTGTTAATGTAAGGGATTCTTAGAACCTACAGTCAAAATTCTGCAAAGGTTTCTGTTTCTTCATCCTAATATTAAATCTTTTTGTTCTTGTGGCAGGAGGTGATGCTTTACGCCTTGACACGCTGTTGGAGTGGTGGAGAGAGGAGAATGGCAGTTTTTGTTCTCGACTGATCATTGTCTTAGACTGTGAGAACTCTCAGCCTTGGGTTAAAGAAGTAAGAAAAGTAAATGACCAGTATGTTGCTGTGCAAGGAGCAGAAATGGCCAGAATTGTAGACATCGAGGAAGCAGATCCTCCTCAGCTTGGTGACTTCACCAGGCAGTGGGTTGAGTACAACTGTAACCCCGACAGCAACATCAGCTGGTCAGAGAAGGGCCGTACGGTGAGAGCTGTGTATGGTGTGTCAAAGCGCTGGAGTGACTACACTTTGCATTTGCCAACGGGAAGTGATGTTGCCAAGCACTGGATGATATACTTCCCATGCATCACCTATCCATTAGTGCACTTGGTAAACTGGTTTTGTAGTCTCAATCTGTTCTGGGTCTGTAAAACATGCTTTAGGTGCTTAAAAAGACTGAAAATGAGTTGGTTTCTTCCCACAGTGCTGGACACAGGACAGGGTTTCAAACTCGTCAAGTCCTAATTAGCAACCAAAGAGAAAATGAAGTGAAAGCTCTGGGAACTTTCTCACTGTACCATACTTAAACTTTTTATATGACTATTTTTCTCTGAAAAAGTCTGCTACACTCACTTCATTCAGCTCTTTGAGCAGCTGTACTATATGCAACAGTTAGAAACTGCAATCTTAAGAGGGTAGGACTATGATATTTTGAGTTTTGTTACTGGTCTGTATGTACATATGTAAGAGACTTATTTAATATGACAGTTGACATTTTCATATATGTTACTTAAAGCAGCCTTTGTTCAGAGACATCAGTTTTTTATCAAAGAGAAATAAGTATTTCCAGAGGAAGACTGATTTGGTCTCTATTTTAGGATAAATTTTCCTATGTGTGTGCTTTAGATTTGTTTTGGTTTTGCTTTCATGTGCCAAAGGTCCAGCAGACAAATCCCTTGGATAACCTTAGAGCACCTCAGTTCTAAGCCATCTTCTGGAGCCTGGGCTGGGTATATAAACTTCTTGTTCAAGCACATAAATTGGATACTTGAAGTTGAGCTGAGCAAGCATCCATCAGGTTGCAGAAAAGCAGCACCACCTCCTCTGCAGAAGTCATTGTCTTCCATTTCTGGTCAACAACCCTTGAGTATAGATGCATAAAGGCAGTCACTTGGTTTGTAAAATCACTGTTTTGACTGCTCTTTCAGTAGAAGTTTCTCTCTGCATCACAAACTGTTACAGTTGGAGCCTTAGAAATTTTTACTGAGGTCCCATAAAGCAACACTGTAATACCTCATAGTCATCCTGTGAACAAGTCAAGAAGTTACTCCTTTTTGATTTGGAAAAGCTTTGAATATCAACCATAACACTTCCTACTAATTATAATTGGTAAATCTCTACTTGCTATTGTTACATTTTCATGGACATCATCTGTATCTTTCTTTTTTGTACATGAAGGGGAACTACAAAAGCATGAGACCTGTCCTGAGATTGTGAGCAGGATCAGCTATGCAGGACAGAGCTGGGACTGGCTTTGGACAGAATAAATGCAACAGTTGGTGCTGCTCTTTTGCCTCCGGTTATTGAATGGTTTCCAGTTTATTTATCAAACTGTTAGATTTTCTCTAGGATAGACTGGGTTATCTTCAGCTGTTTGCTCAAAGTTAGATAAAGAGCCAGATAAAAATATAGCAAAAAAAGATTATTTGCAAAACTAACGATATGTTTGCAGATTTGTTTCAGTTCTCGCAACTAAAGACCTGTAGTTTTCAGAATTTGAAGTAGTTGTAACATGAGCTAAGGTGTCCCTACTTTTGATTTTGTTACTTGTTTTAAATAGCAAAGGAATGGTGAAAATGCTGATTTAAACTCAAAGAAATGTTTACAGCTATTCAAGTTATGAGGCCTTTTTGGACAAAGAGACCATAAAACCAGGGCTAGGGATGATTAGGAATTCAACTGCATTAATTCTTCACTTCTATGCTGACTTACATCAAGGCATACCACCATAACCCACATTCCAGGATGGAGCTTTTCTCCAGCTCCTGGTGTTCAGGTCCTTGTGCAGGGCTCTGCCCAGCCTCGGGTGTGTGCCTGAGGGCCAAACACCAGGAGCTCTTGTAATCGGAGTGAGGAGTTATCCCTCTGCTGTACCCTGTGTAAAAGACAAGGGCAACGCCTGAAAGAGAAACTTAAATCTAATTCCAAAGAATGTTACGTGTGCTATCAGTTCTGTACAAGTTATTTAGCAGTAACATGTACAAATTTTTGGGTAGAGAAAAATCTCAACTGTTTTTTAAGAGACTTGTCTCTGTACATTCAGATATTTTGTTATAAAGGTTGTTATAAATTTGTGTCGCAGCAGTAATTTTATTTTGACTTTGTTTCATTTACCTCCTGTATGAATCAGCCTTGCTGAAACATGCAAATGCACTGAGTCCTGCAAATTTTAGTCCTTAAAAGCAGTTCAAATTGCAAATTCACAGTAGTATTTTTCTCTGAATAAGTATTGGGAGGAAAAAAAGCCATTATTCTTTGTTTTTGCACTACTAGAATTATGTATTTGCAGTTCTTTCTGGTTTGTATGCCTTGTAGTAGTTGTCCAGTCTTCAAGTTTTTCCCAGAAATAATTTCTTCACCTTTAATTTGTAAAGGCACAGTTAGTGCTGTGCCAGCTGTAAAGCACCTCTGTCGCCAGCAGTAGACAGTGAAACTGAGTTAATTAATTTTCTTGTTTATAAATACCTTTTTGTGGGAGGATTTTTACTGGATATACCATTTTTAGATCTGTAAATAGATTTTTTTGGACTGTATTTGTGATATTTCTCAAATATATTTTGCTGGTTTGGATGTTCATTTCCATTTCATGTTTTCATTTACATCTTGATCACTTCCCAGATTTCTGTGCTCCCTCTTGAATTACTTGGGTGTTTCTGTAAATCTTGTTTCAGTGGAGGTGTTTTAGTTATATTTTGCAACAGTTTAGTGAAAATATTCTAAGGATTATTTGATGTTTAACAATTTAATAGAAATGAGAAAAATTACCTTAAATTGTTCACACCTTTCACCTTGTTTTTTTGGTCACTTAGTCAACAAGGTAGTAAAAATGCTGTTTATACTTTAAGACATTATTTTATAGAGACATAATGAAAGACTTAATTTACATGAGTATTTGTATTTAGTCAAATTTGTTATCTCCAGTAAGATCAAGTTGTGGTTTAACCCCAGCCAGCAGCCAAGAACCACACAGCCACTCACACACTCCCCCACCAATGGGATGGGGGAGAGAATCAGAAGGGTAAAAGGTAGAAAAGCTCATGGGTTGAGATAAAGACAGTTTAATAGAGAAAGCAAAAGCTGCACACACAAATAAAGCAAAACAAGGAATTAATTCACTGCTTCCCACAGACAGGAGGTGTTCAGCCATCTCCAGGAGAGCAGGGCCCCATCACACAAATGATTCCTTGGGAAGACAAACGCCATGACTCCAGATGTCCCCCCTTCCTCCTTCTTCCTCCCACCTTATATACTGAGCATGATGTCATATGGTATGGAATATCCCTTTGGTCAGTTTGGGTCACCTGTCCCAGCTGTGTCTCCTCCCAGTCTTCCATGCACCCACAACTTCCTTGCCAGCGTGGCAGTATGGAAAGCAGCAAAGGCCCTGACTCTGTGTAAGCTCTGCTCAGCAATAACAGAAACATCTCTGCATTATCAATTCTGTGTTTAGCACAAAACTCAAACTTAGCCACTGTGAAGAATGTTAACTCCACTTCAGCCCAAACCAGCACATGGAGGGTTCCTGCATGAGTCAGATAAAACCTGGGAGATGAAGCAGAAGGAATCTTGCTGCAGGCTGGTGAAGAGGTCCAGTCCACACATCTACTCTTCACAGAAATTGTGAGGAGGTTCCTGCACTCCATCCTCATGAAACAGTCCCAGCATTACTCTTAACAAATCAGGACTTGTTAAGTGAAGGCTGTAGTGGGAAATGGAAAAGCAGAGCAGTTTGTGTGCTAAGGGGTGATGTCAGTGGTTATCCAGTGTCCAGAGCTGCACAGAGGGGCACTGACCATGGGCAGTACTTGTAAGACATTGACTAGCTCAGTACAGTGAGAATTTAGTGGCACGTTTTTGTTGTTTCATTTTTTAACAGAAGGAATTTAATTTTGACTCTTTCATCTAATTCATTATTGAAGCCATTACTTTTGCAACTATTAATCAGTGTTCTTTTCTTACTAAAATTCTGTTCAGTCTCAAATTCAGAGGTAGCCAGAGCAGCACAGCTGACCCACAGTGCTGCCCTGCAACTATTCTCTTTGGATGGAGTCAGACAATCTAAGATACGTCTCCATCCATGGTACTGAGTTTGGGGTTTTTGGTCAACCTGTTTGTTACCTGAGAAGTAAAAGTCAGTAAAAATAGCCCTATGAATGTTGAAATCATGTTTTTTCTTAGGCACTGTTATATATACGTTATTGTTGGAAAACAAGCGTAGCAGAAAAATTGAAACACATTGATTTGGAGCAAGAAGGGTGTAAGGGTTTTGATCAGTGTTACCTACTGTGTCTGCACCTGCAGTCAGCTGGTCTCCATCACCTCTGGAACACTGCCCACTACCACTGGGGAGTGAAAAACAGATACACTGTTACTGCTGGATTATACTGGAGACTGAAAAGTAAAGTGTTACAGAGCTCAACTCTTGGTTCAGAATAAGTGCAACTTCCTCACACAACCAGATGTGCACAACTTAGGCATTTGTGAGGGGTTGGTTGCCTTGCAGACAGCAGTCAAACTTCAGGGTACTGAGTAAGAAGCTATTCCCTACAGCTGCCTGCAGCATCGAGCTGCTTGCAGGTAGTGACATAGAAATTTAACATTTCCCTCCTCAACAGCATTGAATTGTTTTTTCTATATAGTAATTGTATAGTCACTTCAAGATGTAGTGAAACATTCTGGACTCTTACCTCAGCTACTGCTCTGCACTGAGCTAAGGAACTATCAGTGCTGACACTGATGGAAAAACGCAGCCAGCTCTGCACATTACAGACAGTTCTGTAGTTAATAGCTGCTAAAATGAATAACAGCGAGCCTAACTTTGCTATCCTGCAAAGGCAAAGCCAGGATACTGTAAGACAAATGTGTCAGGAGTACAAAACAGGCAACTTGGCTTCCTTTGCAAATCTGCCTGATTCAGAGATTGGCAATAACCAGAAGAGAAGTAGAAACTTTTTGCAAAAAAAAATGTTTGCTTTATAAATTGTGTATAAGGTCCCTAGATAGCATGGTACTGGCTACATTATAAATGCATAAGAGATCCATTAGGAGAGATGGGGAGGGGGGAAAAAACCCGACAAATTAGGTTTTTATAGCTGAAAGCCCTAAAGATTTCTTCTGCCTTGCAAAAAAGATTTTTATCCTTACACAAAGGTTACTTCTTTTCTCAGGAAAGTAAGGCAGAAGAAAAGAATTAAGAAAAAAAAGCTAAGAGGAAAAGTAATATTATCAGATGGGTCAAATTCAGTGCTGTAACCAGGAGAATGGGAATCGCAGACCTAGAAGTAGAGAGAGGCTTCAGAGCTGATTCATTTTGTTTCTTACAGAGGCAGCCTACATGTAATCTCAGGCCAGAATTTTGCTGTGGCCCATCCTAACAAACTGACAGGATAGACAGGCACGTTTCCATTCTGGGCTCATGTCCTGGCACCATTAACGCTCTCAAGATTGCTTCTAAAAAATTATGAAGATT